ATTTGTAGTTTTGACTAAAATGTCTCAACAGCTGTTGGATGGATTGCCTGCTGCAAGATGAACTGCAATAATTATGGAGATGCCTTAAAGGAAACAGATAATGTTACATATCAAAGTCTGATTATAGGTCTTGAGGACTACTACTGCATATTGTATGTGACAGAAGTTGTACAAATACCTGCCTCTCTGACAGGTACTGGGAAGTAGGATCAGCCTCTACTATTATTGTGCATGCTGGTTTTAATGGCATTAAGCTACAACAGTCTGAGAAACTTGAGGATTTCATCAGCCTTATTGGATTTCAGATACTAGTACACGATGCATTATCTCTAGACATAAGCCATCCTCACAACTCTCTGATATTAGGTTTAGTCACGTTCGGCAACTTCATATCTGGATGTAATACTATTGTCTCATAGCGTACCCTTTGTGGACAATTTTACAGCATTTAAAACTTGACCAGGATTTTTTAAACACAATGGAATACATCAAAATCTGCATGGTACCCGGCTACTGTCATGTAACATGACGCTTGAATCTGCAAAACAGTTTCACAAGTTCGAACCTTTGCTATGATGAAACCTAAGATTCCTGTTTTAGTGAGCGATTATAGATGAACGTAGGTCTGAGTTAGATAATGTAATCGAGATTCAGCCTGGTGACTATGATCTTCCCCTGAAATAAGTCTAGCCTTTTAGATATTATTTTAACAAATAGGCCTCAAATTTTAAAATGAAGTGGTGTCTTTCCACTTGATTTTAGTGATCAGTGCCCTATAGCTTATATCAGGAATGTACAGTAAAATCCCAGAAAGCCAAGATGAGATTTGTGGTTAGGTAAAGCTTTAAACACTTTACAGAACAGGCTTTTTTTTAAATTATTTGTACTACAGTAATATTGCACTTACCAAGACATTTTGCACAAAACTATTTATTAAGGTTTTTAAGGAAACTGCAGATAAACATGCATAAACCTTCAACTGAATTATCAGAAATGCTACATGCTGGAAATAAAGCCTGGAAAAGAGCATGTATGTCTAAATCTTCTGTTGATTGGCAAAATATTTGTCATTTAGGTAATAAATGTTTTTGTAAGAGATGATTTGAACACTGTTTTAATATGATTTTATTGAAGTTGATTTTGTATATTTTACCATTTTTAATGTTTTGTGATTTTGGATTTTTGGTACTGACCATATATGATTTATGTTTATGCTTTACTGTTTCAAAGGTTTTAATTGTATGGGAATGACAGCTTGCTGGCTTTCCCTAAATAAATAAGGATGATGAAGATGAAGGCATCTCAATCGCCCACTGTACACTGGATGCTGGATTGCTTTATACAGGTTGGGAGCCAGTTGCTATCCCAAGTTCATCCCAAGGAATTAAAAATGAGGGTAAGATGTAGTGTAAGCTACATTCCAGTAGTCGTCTGTGGTCATGAACTCCTGTGACGGACAGAATGAGCTAAAAGAGTTTAAGCTGAAATGAGTTTGTGGGGTGTCTGGACTCAGATTTAAAGATATGGGATGAGGGGATTGGACATCTGATGGGACTGCTGCTCTTTTGTGTTTAAAAAAAGGTTTGCTGTTTCAGGTTCAGGCATCAGAGCAGAATGCCTTCTGGATGCCTCCCTGGGAAGAAGATCCTGGAGCAGACACACGGGAGGGATTATAACCCACCTGGCCTGCTAACATATGTGTTGAGGAGCTAGAGGGTATGGGTGAGGAGATGGATGTGGACATTTTGCTTAGTCTGTGATCCAGATAAGCTGCGGAGCATGTGTTGGTCTAGTGCATTCAAACTCTTTCATCACTTGTTAAAAAAGGCAAACAGCTATAATCTTGTGCTCAAAATACTGGAAATTCAGCTAAAGGTCTGTACATCATACAAAATGGCTTGGCTTGGTGTTATGATACAATATGTACCACAGTATTATAACAGTATGATTACTAGTATTTACACAATGTGAGCATCTGTGAACACATGTAGTCTTTATGGCAAGTATAGGGTACATGGTTCTACAATGATAGTATTTTGAGCAATGTTCTGTACTCTGGATTATAGCAAAGTACACAAACACAGTGTGTCTGAAGAAGGATGGCTAGCCTGTCATTTAAAAACATCTCTTGTCTGACACCACATTTACAAATTAGATCCTCTTGATGTTCAGTCCCACCTTTAGTTCAGCTTTGCTCACTTGTTGTAACTAACCAAGCTGGACTGTGACGAGCTGAGCAGCTGTTTGTCACCAAGATGATGGCTCCTGTCACCATCTTCATGCTTTCTTCCTCTGTTCTTCACCCCTTCTTGCCTCTTTCCCACTACTATGTATATTTATCCCTCTCCTTTCCTGTTTTTCACGTGTTCCCCTCACCTCTCTTTTCCTGGTACTTTCATTATCTCCCTCTATGTCCTTCTTTGTCTTCTTCCATTTTTATTTTTTCTCTCCTCTCCTCCCTTCTCCTCTCCTCTTTTCTCTTCTCCTCTCCTCTCCTCTCCTCTCCATTAAGTAATGAGACAAAACAGTAAATCACAGCCACAGCTACTGTATGTCTGACTAAAGGCCTTACGTAAGAATGCCCTGTGTTTAGCTAAATCAGCAATGCGGCATGATACAGGCCTTATGTAAGGCACTGGGAGGGTTACACTGCACTACATCCTTCACCACAGGACAGAAACATTGTGGATCTCATGTCTCTACGGCATGGAGAGATATGACTGGGTCGATATCAGGGATGAGTGGCTGTATTGATGTTTTCACCCTCCTGCTGTCATAGCCAGGAATAAATAGAAAAAGAGAGTTTCAAAGAGTAAGAGGCTGAGGGCAAAGTACTTGCCTCAGTCCCATCAAACTCTGCCAGTAGCCTTTGTCAGGAGGGGAGGTTGTGTGGCTCAGGTCTGTTGAAGGCACCTGGAAGTTGTTCAACATGCTGGCTCATATTCTTCATATACATTTGCAATAGACAGTTTTGGTTCCTTATCCAACTTGAGGGTCTAAGGACAGAGGGCACAGATTGCTAAAGCCCCTTGAGGCAAATTTGTAATATTGGGCTATATAAATAAAATATGACTTGACTTGACTATAGAAACACCTGGCAAGGGAGTGAATGTTCTGTAGTGGAGCAGGTTTCAAGGATCACTTCTCATCTTTGAATGGGGCTGAGAAAATATTAAACAGCTGCTGTACACCAACAATGTTTGGAATGTCTGTTTTTGAATGCAACTGCTCCGTGAGACACTGTTATTACCTGCAGGGTGTGCCAGTTGTTTAGTGCTGCTTCACAGCCAACCAGTCTCTAGTAGAAAGAAAGTACAAGGAGCTAGATGGTCATATTGTGCACTTAGAGTTGCAGTGGTACCATTAGGCCATCTTATAGAAGGCTGACATTTGTTTATGCTTTCCAGCCACTAGCTTATGGGATTTGGACTAAATCTACTTCACAGGTCAAGCAATACCCACTCCAAGCACTAAGACAGGTATTATAGCATAGTGTATAATACGCTGAGCCCCTCACGATAAACAGTATATCTAAATTGTACATACCCACATACAGTAACCTGAACCATACTCTGTAAATACCCAAACAAATTCTGAAGGGATTCCCTGTCTAGGAATGAATGGTATGTCTGTCAGTGATGGACATCTCAGCCCATGCCCACGAAATGGCCTCCAGTTGCTTTCCAAATGAAAATCATTACTGGAGACATGTGCAAGTTGGGGATGATCCATGTTTAGGGTATAACCAGGACAGAAATATAGTATGTCTGTGGCTACTGGAAGCTACTAATTAGCTTTTGGGTAAGGCCAAGACCTGCGATAATGATTAGCACCCTCCCAGTTTAATTTATTAGTTTTTAGCTATAGTGGCAAAAATAATTTCCCCTGTCTACAGCTGCAGACTTTTGCAATTTCCCACTTGATCAAATATTAATTTGTTGTACAGCCAATTTTATTAAGGCTAATTTGACGTTTTTCTAATACTGTGCCATTATCGCTTAAATTTGTGTAGTAAAATAATTCAACTTAACAAGGCCAAAAATAAAGACAATATTCTGGGTTTAAAGGGACAATAACTAGGTAATATATTAATATACTAACTATACTAATTTGAGCGTATACACAGTGGTGGAAGAAATATTCAATACTCAAGTAAAAGTAGCAATACCACAGTGTAAAAATGCTCCGTTTCAAGTAAAAGTCCTGCATTCAAAATGTTACAGTACTTAAGTGCAAAAGTGTTTCTATCAAAATATACTTGAAGTACCAAAAGTAAAAGTACAAGTGCATTATTATGTACATTGCTTTATTGTTGAGTATTGTGTAGATGGAACAAATTTTAACTACTCCTCATGTTGTTTTCATAATCTGGTGTTTTGACTCTAATAGTTATAATGTAAAGTACTTTTCTGCTGGGAATCTTGTGCATTTTCCATCCAGGATCAATAAAGTGTGTTTTGTTTTATTAATCTGATTTATCAAAATAAATGTAGTGGACTAAAGGTACACTATTTACATCTGAAATGCAGTGAAGTTGAAGTATGATGCAGGAGAAAATGGAAATATTCAAGTAAATAAATACATTAAATACATTAAGTACAGTACTCGAGTAAATGTACTCACTTACTTTCTACCTCTGTTTATACACGTACTTCCGGTTTTGATGTGAAATGTGTATGTCATCCTATAAAACTTTGGTTACTTGGTCCAAGCTATACATTTTAGAGCTGCAGTGAGTCAGAGAGACTGATGATAAAATCACTTTTGTTTCTTCAAAGAAATCCTGCGGGCCCCAGCGGACCTGTTACACGATTAGTCAAGCAGGTCTTTTCACTGCAAGTGAGGTAGGGAGAGAGAAAGAGAGCAGGTCGTAATGGGAGGGGGAGGGGGGTCACCTTTTGTGCAAATATATCAACCAAGAAGACTGCCACCAGCATCAGATTTCTGTGTGTATGTGTGTGAGGGAAGAGAGGCGCTCCTTTTGCAGAGAGAGAGAGAGAGAGAGAGAGAGAGAGGGTGAGTGAGAGAGAGAGAGAAAGAGAGAGAGCGCTTTGGAGCATCGAAAGAAGAAAGAAGACTTACTGCTGCCAGATTTCCACACTGCCCAGCCAAAAAAAGTGAATACTTGTCCTTTAAAAAGTTTATCAAAACGGCCATGGACGGGGTAGCCTTCGGACGCACGTCGCTCCTGTGCATCTGGCTGCTGTGGATATTGCAAGGTAAAGGTTCTTTGATACTTAACGCTACATCTTTTTACTCTCACCTCATCCTACTGGGTTTGTCTTGCTTTTGACACGGTACCGGTTAGTTTTTCGTGGCTTCAGGCTGCAGATTTACACTTTCCTTGTTCATGGACTCCAAGTTGTTCCGGTCCGTTGCTTGCAGAACAAACCTGACAGTGGGACATGATGCGGTCACACGCGACACACTAAGTTGTTCCCTTCAGCAAGCATTTGGTAGTTTGGTTATGTTTTGTTGTGTGTTACTAGACGCTGCTGAGCAACCTGTTACTGGCTGCCCAGATAAGACAGAACATGCGGAGAGCAGGTGGAAAACCGGCGACTTATCCCAAAAACCGACAAGTATCGAAGTCCGATTGTTTCATCCGTAGCCTAAAATATTACTGTTGTAACTACCAGATAACACAACAAGAACGGACTGCCTGTATACACTGATGTGATGCTTTAAGAGTTAATGATGGCTCTTTGCAGACTCGTTATTTGAACGAGTGCCTAGAGTGCGTCACTCGAGTGCACTTCTTTGCGCACATAACTGCGGCACACCATTATTCCTCTCTGAAACCCGCTGGCATGTCTACCTCTACAGGCCCAATGAAATAAATCGAACAGCCAAAATAAAACAGATCTTAAAAATGTCCTTAAATCTACACAGAAGCACCCAGAATGCCTGGGCCATCCCAGGTATTTGTTCTTAATCCCACTCTGTGCCCTCTGGCTGCTGTGGTGCAGTTTCCAGCACTTTGATGTCTAAGTTGCTGGACTTTGCCCTCCTGTTGGCAGTGTGCCTCACCTTGAGCACCCTTGGGTGCTGCCAGAGAGTCTGTAAGGCACCTTGGCTATGACCATATCTGATCTTTGTCATACACATTTATGGCTGCTAACCAAAATCTAATATATACTTTTTCAGAGTTGTACTCCACACGTTTATTGACCTGTGGGCCTACTAGACGTTTGTTTCCCATGGTTAACAGTCCCATGGGTATTTGCCATGCTGCTAGTCAGGTTATACTGTGGGGGGGGGGTCTTATTTTTCAGTTTTGCTTTAATATTTATTTTTATCTTATAACGATGTATACTAAATCACTTCTTTGATGTTAACATGTGTGTGTGTTTCATCAGAAATATAGTGTTGCAGCCTTCAGCGGCTCTTTTGTGACTGTATGAGTGTAAAAATCCAATTTTCCAGAATGAGCTGTGAAAATGGTTTGAATTTTGGCTGTGCAGTCAGTGTGTGGGGGTTTGAAGCAGGATGAGCTACAGGGCGGGGCAGGGCTGCTGGTTGACTCCCTCTCTCTGTGCAAACTCTCTCTTCTTTTTCTCTGACTGTCCTGTCCTCACTACAGCTTTGTGTGTTTCTCATCACTTTTACAGCCTTTGCATTTAGTTTTTCACCTCATAAAAAACTTCTTTTAAGCAGTGACCTCTGAATTTTCCTGGTTTAGGTTTTCTTCCTCTCCCCTTTTACCTTCTTCATGTTACACAACTTCACTATTCCCCAGGTCTTCTTTTACAGCCACCTCCTCCCTCCTCTGTGGGCTCAGAGACAGTTGTTGAGCTTTGCTGTCTACCTGGCCTTCATGGAGCGGTTTAAGACAAAAGTAGTCTTCCACTCTCATCCTGCAAATGTTGTTTTCCTCCCAGAATAATGTTGCAGAATCTCTCTCTTTCCAATCTCTCTCTCTCTAGCATAGTTTTGTCTAATAATAGCAGCTTGTCTTGGGTCTCAGTGGGATTCTGTCACACAGACCCACATTCTCACAAGTACTGGTCACACACATGCAACTTCCTATGTCTGTGTCAATTAAGTGCACTGAATAGAATAAGTGTGCCTGTGTGTATCCATGTATGCTGTATTAATATGTAGTTGGGACACAAGGTGCTCTGCATGCCTGAGCCCAGGACTGTGCTGACCCTTTGGTAAATGGCTCCTGAGATGCCACATGCTTTTACTTGATAGCGAACACATCAGTAGCAAAAAATGCTGATATACAACTTCATTTTCAGTGTTTAAAAAATGTGATGAGACAGTACTTGAAATTAAAAACACTTCAAAAGATAATGGTGATACTTTACAGCTGCTCAGCTTCGTATATTTGTAGAGAAAATGTAAAAAAAAAGTGTTTTTTGAGTGAATTTTTTTTAAATACAAACACAAGTACCTCTAGACAAATGGAGAGTCAAATGGTCAGATGAGTTGGAGCTAAACTGTAATGATCCCAGTGTGGTCAGGATTAGGTGTAAAGAATTGTTGTGACAGGCATCAGCTGAGTTCAAGGTGTTAGCCTCTAACGTGCAGTGTCAGCCTCTTTGTCTGTTGGAGCCTTAATTCCTAGAGTCATTTCCTCACTTTTAATTTCTGTCCCTCCTGCCAGCGCAACATCAAACGTGCACCCCTGCAGCTGTGTGTAATTATTATGGTATTAGGCCAGAAAAAGAGCCATTTAGCCATGAGGAGATAAACACCAGGGAACATCTTTCAAAACTGTTTTGGGGCACTGGTTTTGTGCGCACATAGACGTGCATTATTAGATGCATGAATGCAAAAATGCAATACATGTACATTTCTGAAGCATTGTGGAACATTGCAACACTGGAAACCTTCGCTCATATAAGAGTGAGTGACAGGTTGATAGTGAGTGCTTTGAGAGAGCAAGCTCATGTTTGCCCCCTTGCCATTTGGGCCTCTGGGAGAGTGGGTCTTGGATAATTATTGAGCTGATTCATTCCCTGCTGTGTGTTTGTCTAGATGTGTGTGACAGTAACTGAGTAGACTATTGAAACTGAATGACTGGCATTCCTCTGGACACGTTAGAGCTCGCTCAGTAATGTGTGTTTGTTTGTAATCCTTTTGGATTCTATGGAAAACAGCTTCCTTTTCTCACTTTAAACCCCCATCTCACCACAAGTCACAGGTGGTAATCAATGAACAAACAAGCAGCCACAATGCAGCACCCATCTAACCATCTACAGGCAGGTTTATAAGTGCAAAGCTGGAGTTTGACCACAGCCAATGTGCACTGATCTTGTTTGACTGGGTTTTACTCTGGAGAACAACCATATAGCAACAATTAATCATTAGTCAGGAAAACGACAAGAAACGTTGAGTGTGACCTGAGTGAGCAAGTCCATTTAGTCATTGTTGAGGTCAGCAACTTTTCACATAGCCATTATTGTTTATTATTTGCAGTGAGTGCCACGTTAAAACCAATTACAGTAGTGTGATAGTGCACTGATGTTGGCTGGTGAGATGACAGTGGCTGTATGCAACTGGGCATCAACATATGGTGGACTGCATTCACATGGTTAATCCTGGTTTAAAAGTCAGTTCAGAAGAATGATGTGGTTCACAGCAGAGATGGAAAAGATTATCCCGCAGATTTTGCATCTTGGTATCCCCACAAGAGCTTCAAAAGCACTGCAGCCAAAGTCATGATTACACACACACACACACACACACACACACACACACACCACACACTGCTACTCATACGTAAACAAAAGGTGTATTGCTCTAGATTAACTTTGTCCTTCTTCCCATCTCTCTCCTTCTTATCTTTGCCTGTCTGAATCTGTCTCTCTTACCCACTATTCTCTCTGTTTGTGTCTTACAGTGACACGTTCAGTAGGTCATTCAATGTCCAGTTGTGTTTCTGTGCTGTGATTTACTATGTTGTCTATGCCTACCTTTGCCTGTGTAGACCATGATGTGCTTGGTTCACAATGACCCTGCATAGGATGATTGCCTGCTGTGTTTTAGTGGGAGACAGGGCTCTGTTTGCTTTTATGCCCATCCCTAGAGCTGTTCACAGCAGATATATGGCCACTGTTAATGATTTTAAAATAAGTGTGACCATTCTCCCCTCACTTGGCTTTTTCAGTGGTGCTCACTTTCCAAAGTACACATTCCAGTATAAATTCTCTGCTATTTAGAGAAGTTTCATAGATGGAAACAGTACATGAACATACATGTTTTGGTTTAGTCTGTTGCTTTGAGGGTGCTGTCTTATCATTAGTGGGACTTGTGGAGGAAGTGGAGTGGGAAGCAAAGAGGAAGGGATGGGATAAGCGATGATTGCATCTGACTGTTGTGTTACCATCAGGGGTGATGATGATGATGAGTCATTTCAAATGCAGCCTTGAGAGGCTCCATGTTCCTGCATGTGTATCCTTGCCTCTACATTTGTTTATGTGCTGGGAAGGGTAGCGGCGCAATGAGAGGGGTTGGAGCAAATTTGAAAATTCACAAAAGCTCATCCGGGAGACAAGGTTAAGTGCTGCCAATCCATTTAGTGCGAGGGTGCTGTTGCAAGATGCAGATAAGAGCCTCTATTTCTCTGTGTTTGCTGTAGGAATATAAAAGCAGCGGGACTGGCTTGAGCACTTGTAGCCACAAGAAAATATGATGGCCTACACGTTTTTGAGTTTGTTACAAAAAATGGTATTTACAATAGCCCTCTTGTGTCCTGTCCAGCTGTTTTGATTGATCAAATAGCGTGCAAGTGAGGGTAAAATGAACAAAAGCAATGACGACAGATAGTAGGAGAGAGGATCAGACAGGCAGAGTGTGTCAGGATTGAGAAATACCAAATAGGAATGGGGAATGTCATGGAATAGCCTAGATATGTGGCCAAGGAGATCATTTTCCTGGCAGTAGATAAGAAATCCTAACCCCTGCACCCCTCCAACCCTAAACCCTCCATCTGACTTTTGGCTGGCAGAGCGTCCACTGGGACCCTGCAAGCTGTTGCTTTTCAGACATCAACAGTTGCCTCAACAGCAGTTGCTGAATGTGCCCCTCCAAAAAAAGTCCCGCCACCCCCTTCCTTGACACACACACTTGGGTTCCATTACCACCTCGTTTCTTTCTACACCACTGGTTTGGCGTCATGTGGAGGAAGGAGAGAGTAGAACTAAATTTGCTGTGAATGCACCCTTATTTTTGAGGGGGTCCTCAAGACAGCAGTACACATATAAACAAA